TTCACTTCGGAAGCAAAAACAAGAAGGCAGCTTATTACCTGAATGCCTGTAATTTGGGAGAGGGGAGTGTACAGCGGGTCCTGGGCATCCTTGTGCACCAGCCAGTAATGCATGCAGGTGCAGCAGGCAGTAAAGAAGGCAAATGTATGTTGGCCTTCATTGCGAGAGGTTCAGTACAGGAGGAGGGCTGTGTTGTTGCAGTTGTACAGGGCCTTGGTGAGACCACACTGGAATATTGTGTGCAGTTTTGGTCTCCTTTTCTGAGGAAGGATGTTCTTAGGAGACTTAAAATTCTAACAGGACTGGACAGGGTAGATGCAGAGAGGATGTTCCCGATGGTGGAGTGTTCAGAACCAGGGGTCACAGTATGAGGAATTGGGGTAGATGATTTAGGATGGAGATGAGGAGACATTTCTTCACCCAAGGAGTGGTGAGCCTGTGGAATTCATTACCACAGGGAGTAGTTGATGCAAAAACATTGAATGTATTCAAGAGGCGATTAGATATAGCACTTGGGGCAAATGGAATCAAAGGTTATGGGGAGAAAGCAGGATTAGGCTATTGACTTAGATGATCAGCCATGATCGTGAAGAATGGTGGAGCAGACTCAAAGGGCTGAATGGCCTCCTCTTGCTCCTACCTTCAACGCTTCTATGACTGAAACAATAACTCTTTCTCTCTCTACAGATGCTGTCAGACCTGAGCATTTCCAGCTCTTTCTGTTTCTATTACAGAAGTAGTGTTTTTTTTTAAATTTAACCCATTTTTCTAATCAACCTGTTCAGAGATGTTATTACATACCTCTGGAGCAGGTGGGTCTTGAACTCAGGCCAACCAGTCCAGTCGTAGGGATACAACCTCTGTGCCACAGAGGGCCCTATAACTGAAGTGCAAGTCAAACATTCCCCTCCACTTGCTAAAAATGTACACACTGTATTTAGGCAAGAGATGAAGAAAATTCAACAAAATACAAAAAAGAATTTTTGTAACTTAGAGATATAATGAAAAAAAATTTCCAGACAATATTAAAGCCTCCAATTTTCTTCTGAAGCAGTTAGTAAAATTGAAAAAAACCTATTTGTTCTAGTAGTAATCTTTCCTCACCAAATAAATCAGTGACTACAAATAAGAACTATTTTCATGCTAGATTTTCAGTAGTAGAAGTATTTTTAAAAAGAGATCTTTCTAGGGAAGGCTGTTATAACTTCAAATTTTTTACATACATGAGTGCGAGGTTATGAGTTTGTCAATTTCATCTTCATTTGCATCCACAGAGTTGATTCTTAAAAGCTGACAAGGATGCTTTGACAAAAAGTAGTACAATTAATTTTCTAATCTTATTTAAAAGCATCAGTGGGAAATCTTAAACATTAAAACTTTTTAAGAAAAAAGTCACTGAATTTTAATTAAGAGATAACACAGGGTGGAGCTGGAGGAACACAGCAGACCAGGCAAAGTTGACGTCTCTGGTGCTGCCTGGCCTGCTGTGTTCCTCCAGCTCCACACGGTTATCTCTGACTCCAGCATCGACAGTTCTTACTATCTCCGAAATTTTAATTAAATTTATCTTTGATATTTTGGTTTGTGCGGCTGATATGTGAAAGCTTATTTTCTTTAATTTTGAGAAGTGAATTAAGTTTAATACCAGTAGACTGAAAACAAAGTTATTATCTATACGACCTGGATTCACAATGCAAACACTAATATACTGGTAATCATAATTGTACTGATAAATATTAGTGCAGTGACTGATTGATTGATTCCTTGAAATTAAGATCACGTTTTTTAAAAAAATCCTTTTAAGGGAGTAAGGTATCTTGTCATTACAATTTCAGTAGCAAACAAGATTCAATTTATACACAGATGAAATATAAGTTAAGTGACAAGCACCAACGTCACTTGTACAGTAAAGGAATCATTCATGCTTGGGTAGATTGGGTGATAGGCACTAGAAAAAAAGCAAACATTCATCCAGGGATTAGAACCAGTTGACAATGATCACCAAATCATCAATTATTATATCTGTCCATAGTCTTGGTAGTTATCCCATTAGGATAACTTAGTTATAAATTCAATTTGGGGAGGAAAGGGGGTAGCAGAAAAAAAAAAAAACTTTAATTGCTACAGATTCCTTTTTAGTATTCCAGTGATATGGTTCATATTTCTAGGGGAAGAATTGCCGATGTCTTGCATCAGTGTTTCAATAAGCTATGGAGAGTGGAACAAGGCTTAATATCTGATTTCTAAAAATTTATGGGTGATATTTGTTCAAAGTACTGCTCCTAATGTGCAAGAAAACACAAAAACTGTTTTATTATTTAATATAAAGTATCATCAGATTACAGACTGTGATTAATCTACCTAATGCTGCTAAATTTTTGCTTCTGATTTTCTCAGCAAGCCCGATTCATATTTATAGCTTAACATACACAATCTGTCAGTACTTCAATGTTGTTAAGAGAGGTCCCAAAGTAAACAAATGACAAAATTATTATTAATTTGGAACATTCTCAGTCCCAGATTACTTCATGGACCAGGTTAAATGTTGGTTCACAGACAGAATTGGCTTGAGTGCCTAGGCATTATTTTATGTTGCAAATAACCAAAGTATCTAGCAAGCACAAAAATCATAAAACATTTAAGGTTTATCTTACGACTGCCATCTGCATTAAAACCAATTATAATAAAGCCAAAATGTTAAATGTTAGTCTCTTTTGTATTATATTTTATTACATTGAGGGTTCTCAATTAAACAAGAAAATTATACAGATCTATTATTTAATAGGTGCAATGGTCATTATTAAGAAGATTTTAAATGCTAATTCATTGTGAAGTGTGCAACTAATTCGTACGTGATCCAGTCAATTTTCTGAAACAGTTGTCTGTAGATAACAAGAGTGACTGGGAGACTAAATTTGAAAGCTCAATTCAATACTTCGTTCTTGGGAATGGCGTGGGGATCCTCTGGTTCACTTCATAATAAATCATATTAAATCATTTCTCCTTTATTTTGTTGTAGTTTATTTGTTCCATTATAGATACAAACATTGTACATTAAATGGATACCTAAGTGTATTTAAGTCAAAAAAGATTCAAAATGAATAATGGTAACCTTCAATATACAAGTAATCCGAAGGAGAAATGTATAAATCCCACCATAGCAAGCTGTAAACCAAATTCAATTAATCTTGTAATTTACAGACTGGATTCAGAATATTAACACTGAAGTACAGCAGTTAGATTATTGTAACAAGCCTGCAGGGAAAATAACCTGCAGTTCTCTAAGTCTAGTATGGATCTTATGCCAGTCAGCAAAACAGAAAATACAAGAAATAATGCAGATTGAAAGATCAACCAAAAATATATTAGTTTTGCTTCTTTCTCTATAGATATTGTTAGATCCAAGTATTACCAGCATTTTATATTTGTATTTTGGATTTCCAACAGCCACAGTGTCTTTCTTTTGACTGGACCTATTAGATATCAAGTCAAGAACAACACGACAGATGTTGGCATAGTGATATCACTGAATTTCCACTGGGTAGCTGGTAGAATGTAAATTAACTTAATTCAATCTAGAATTGAGAGAGTCAGTTATGGTGACCAGAAGAATGATCATGGATTGTTGTTAAAAAAATCCTGGTTTACTAATGTCCTTGAGGGAAGGAAATCTACCATCCTTATCCAATCTATCCAACATGAGACTCCAGGCCCACAGCAATATGGCTGACTCTTACCTGCCCTCTAAATGGCTGGGCAGATCACTCAGATCAACAGCAAATAGAAAATGGGCAACAAATGCTGGACTTGTCTGTGGCACTCAAATACCATGAAAGAATAAACAACAAGATAAAGAAAGTAAATCTAAGGTCAGCCACATTTCAGATGCAGCTGGGTGACAGATCAAAATGGATTCGTTCTATGTCATGAATGGCAAATTTAGTCCGAATGTAATGAATCATTTTCTTACACCGATTCAGAATAAAAACAGTAAGGGTCAAGACTTACGACTCATTTAATAAACATACAAAAAACCATCAACATTTTGAGCCCGTTATTTAAGAGTAAATACACTTGTACTGAAAGCTGCCTAGAGAAGGATCATGAGATTGATTCCAAGTATGAAGGGATTTTCTTATGAAGAGAGGTTGAGTAAGCTTGGCTTGGACATATTGTGTTCAGAAGAATAAGAGACGAGACTTTACTGAAAAATCAATCTTAGGAGGCTTGACAGGGTAGATGTGGAGTAGTTGTTTCTCCTTCTGAGAGAGTTGAGAACCAGAGGACATAATCTCAGAGCAAGGGATCACCCATTTAAGACAGATGAGGAGGAATTTCTCTCAGTGAAATTCTTTACTGCAGAGGCTGTCAAGGCTTGGTTATTGAGAAAGCTCCAAGACTACAAAAGAAAGGTTAAGCAATAACAGAATCGGATGTTATGGGGAAAGGCAGAGCGTGGAGTTGAGGATTATCAGCTGTGATCTCATTGAATGGCAGAGGCGGCGTGATGGCCCAGTGGCTGACTTCTGATCTAATGTTTTACTGTTAAACTGATGGATTTGAAATTTGAAGACAGTGGAATTCATAATCTGGAAGGATAGCATCTAACAGGTCAAAGCACCCAAGTCTATTTTTTGATCTTCAGAATCCCATTAACAGTATATTTAACAAAGTAACTCAGCAAAGACCAGGCTTGGAGAGTTTGAATAGCTGTCACAGGGCAGTTGCACTGAGCTTCGAATCGATTTCAGTGTGAAATCCATTCAGTTTCAAGTTTTATTAAGCATTCAAATTATTCATACACGCAGGAAAGCTAAACTATAGTATGGATCACTAAGTTCTATCGCAACAGTTGCAGTTTACTTTTAAAAATGTGGGGCAATGAGATGCAAGTTAAAGGTCTGGAATTCAGTATTTACAATGTACAATAGATATTTAGAATAAAACACAAAGCTGATGAGAAACAAAACAAAGAATATGTATATAATAAGGGAACTTACCATCCTGGACTACCTCTTCATCCGATTCTCTTTTCTCCTTTGTGTATTCTAAAGTGTAAGACAAACCATTGCATCCTCTGGTTCGGACTCCAATCTTCAATCCAATCTACCACAGAATTATATTTTGGAAAAAATGCAGGTTGTTCACTTCCTTAATTACGTTTACTGTCCAATAAGAATTTTACAATTAACAGATATGCTGCAAGATAACTTACTCTTTTAATCAATCACTCTCAGGGTCGCACCCGCAAGGCATGAAGAAAAATCCTAGGTTGATTTTTTAAAAAACTCTCTAGTTTAATTTTTAAAATGGATTCTTGCTATATTTAAAATGGCTGCTTTCAGAAAAGGGCAAGTTGACTGTTTCTAGAAATTTCCAACAATTACCAGGGGAAAAAACTAAGTCATCTCTCTTGAATATCACACTTTTATTTGTATAAACATTGCACTAAAACCTACCCAAAGCAGCAAACAGTGGGTCTCCCCAACTAGTCCTATACTGAGAAAGCTATTGAGGCTGATTGTGGCTCCACAGTTATCTCTTACAATATACAACTGCTTTTGATCACAGACATCAAAACTACGTTATCTGGTTGAACAGACACAATCAAGAACCCTGTCACATGACAAGCTGCTGGTTGTTGAACAGCTTTAAATTATACTGCTCCGAATTCTTAGCTCAGTTTGATTTTTAATTGGAACAGAGAGAAACAGGCAGCCTCAGATTCAGCTAAAGCTTGTGTCTGGTTTCACCCTCTCTCAAGATCTGATTTCCAGGAAAAATCCTTCATTCCACCTGAAAAATGAACTAATTCACAGTCTACAAGAATCATGGCTATGCTTGCAACTGTACCACCTGCATCTGATCCCCTATGAAAAAGGAGTTCTGTCAGACTAGATAGCTGCTAGAACCTTCAGTGGGCAATGACACACTGGAAAAATAATGTCCTTTCGTGTTTAAGCAGTTATTTGAAACTGTAACATTTCCTTCTTTACTCGTTCTTCCTTGCATATGTGTTGAGAAAGTTATGCCCCAGGTTTGAATATAAAAATATCCATCGTTATAGTTTAATGTGAGAGTTTGTTGTGGGTCATTTACAAATTAGACTTCACAAACAGAATATTTGGGGGTAACACCACAGCCTCTCTTAAAGGGGAAATGAAATGTAAAAGAAATTAATTACATTTAAACACAGTCAGCGTGGATTTACAAAAGGGAAATCATCCTTGACAAATCTACTTGAATTCTTTGAGGATGTAACCTCAGTTGATCGGGGAAGCCGGTGGATGTGGTTTATTTGGACTTTTAGAAGGCTTTTGACAAAGATCCACAGAGAGATTAAGATGCAAAATCGAAGCGAATAGGATTGTGGGTAGCATATTGAGATGGATAGAAAATTGGTAAGCAGACAGGAAAGGAAGAGTAGGAATAAATGGTCTTTTTTGGAATGGCAAGCAGACTAATGGAGTACCACAGGGACCAGTACTAGGATCCCAGCTTGTTTGACCACCAAATATAGAGTCATACAGCATAGAAACAGACCCTTCAGTCCAATGAGGAGGCAATTAAGTGCAATTTCTCAAAATGTGTAGCTGGGTGGAAGGGTGAGCTGTGAGAAAAATGCAGAGACGTTTCAGTGTGATTTGGACAGGTTGAGTGAGCAGGCAAATGTATGGCAGATGCAGTATAATGTGGATAAATAAAAGGCTATCCACTCTGATCGCAAAAATAGGAAGGCAGATTGCTTTTTCCAATGGGCTGTAAATTGAGAGGGGGAGTTTTCAGCGAGACCTGGGTACCCTCAGTTACCAGTTGGTGGAAGTAAGTGCTCAGGTGCAGCAGGCAGTAATGAAGAAACCTATGTTGGCCTTCATAGTGAGAGGATGCAAGTACAAGAACAAGGGTGCCTTATTACAATTAAAACAGGGCATTAATGAGATCACACTTGGAATATTGTGTGTAGTTTTGGTTTCCCCTATCCGAGGAAAGATGTTCTTGCTATAGAGGGAGTCCAGTGAAGATTTACTAAACTGATTCCTGGGATGGCAGGACTGATATGAGGAGAGACTGAGTTGGTTGGCGTTGTATTCATTGTAGTTTAGAAGGAATCCCAGAAACCTACAAAAAAAAACTAACAGCACGAGTTAGGTTAGATGCTGGAAGGAGGTTCCTGATGGTGAGGGAGTCCACAACCGAGGGTCATAAGTTAAGGATGAGGTGTACACCTTTAAAAGGACTGAGATGAGGAGAAATTTCTTCACCCAGAGGGTGGTGAACCTGTGGAATTCGCTGCCACAGAAAACGTTAAGGCCAAAACATTATGGGTTTTCAAGAAGGTAGATATAGCTCTTGTAGCTAAAGGGATCAAGGTATATAGGAAAGAACGGGTTTAGGGCATTGAGCTTGATGATCAGCCATGATAATATTAACCAGGCTCAAGGGGTTGAATGGCCTACTCCTGCTCATATCTTCTTTGTTCCCATGTAAAAAAAGTCACCTCTGTAGGAAGAGAAGGACCATCAAATAATCCAATTCACTTTCTCACCTTGTGGTGACAGCTACCACTTCAATGTTATGGTCCAAAGAGGTTTACATTAAAGGGTGGGGCAATTTCTCTCACATAAAGGCACTTCTAATCTTTTTCATTTGAAATGTGAAAGGGTTTATTTGTATTCAGATGGCAGCTTTGGTTCTTGGAAACTAATCAGTTCAGCCACACAACATTGGTACAAGATTTATTAAGCCCAACCAAACTCACTTCCTTCACTAACAACCTTCCCTTGACCATGAAGTCAGAACTGGGAATGTTCTGCTCATGATTGCACAGTGCTGAGTACCATCCACAACTCCTCAGATAATGAAGCATGATATGTTCACTGCTAGTAAGACCTGGACAATATTCAGGTTTGCATTGATATGTGGCATGAAATGTTACTTGTCACTGAAGTGTCAGGTATTGATCAACCTGAATAAGAGAAAATTTAACCATTTCCCCTTTAGAGTCAGAGCTTTACAATATGGAAAAAGAAGCCCCTTGTCCAATCGCATCCGCACCAGTCATCGAGTACCTATCTACCCTAGTCCCATTTTCTAGCACTTGACCCATTGTCTTCCATACTATGGTGTTTTAAAAGTTCATCAAAATACTTAAAAAAAAAAAACCCAAGGATTCCCACTTCTATCACCCTTTCAGGCAGTGAGCTTCAGGTTACTGGAAAAGCTCAGCAGGTCTGGCAGCATCTGTGGAGGAGAAAACAGAGTTAACATTTCAGGTCCAGTGACCCTTCCTCAGAACTGATAGTGGCTGGGAAAACTTCAGTTTATATGCAGAAAATAGGGAGGTGAGTGGGGTAGGGAGTAAACAATAGGATAGAGCCCAAAGAGCGAGAAAGACAGTTGGAAGACAAAGGCTAACGATCAGGCTGGGAGGGTGAGTAGCTGTTAATGGGGACTGTTAGTGACTAACAACAGGGGGTGTGTAGTGGCAGGCTATGTGGTAACAAGGCCTGGTGTGTGGGGTGGGGGAAAAGTTGCTTTTCCAGCAACTTTGTTTTTGTTCCTGATTTACAACATCCGCAGTTCTTTTGGTTTTTATTTAGTGAGCTTCAGGTAACTGCCAACCTGAAAAAGTTTTCCTCAAATTCCTTCTAAAACCTCCTGCCCCTGTGGCCTCTACTAAGGGAAAGTTTCTATCTACCCTATCTGTGCCCTCATAGTTTTGCATACCTTATTCAGGTCTGCTCTCAGCCTTCTCTGCTCAGCAACCCCAGCCTATCTAGTCTCCTTTCATAGCTAAATCACTGTAGCATTGGCAATATTCTGGCGAATCTGCTCCGCACCCTCTCTATAATGTAATCATATCCTTCCTCTAGCAATGCAACCAGAATTGCATTGCGAGTACTCCAGCTCTGGCCTAACTAAATTTTATATAACTCCATCAGAACCTCCCTGCTCGTGTAACTTTTGCAATTTTATAACCTTGACCAATAAAGGCAAGTATCCCAAATACCTTCTGAGCCATCTTATCGACCCGTCGTGTTGCCTTCAGGGACTTATAGACCTGCACACCAAAGTTATTTTGATCCTCTGTACTCATTGTGTATTCCCTTCGACTCCTAAATTTTCAGGATTAAGTTCCTTTTGCTACTGTTGTGGCTATCTGACCAGCCTGTTTAAATCATCCTATAATCTATTTAAGACACCACCAACTTCTGTGTTGTCTGTGAACTTATTGATCAAAACTTTTGCGTTCATGTCTAGATCATTAATATATGGATTTTAAGGGACCCAGCACAAAACTCTGTGGTACACCACTGAACACAGGTTACCAGTTGCAAATAAAAAAAACCCATCAGCAACATTCACCCTCTGCTTCCTGTCAATACGTCAATTTTGGATCCAATGGATCCAGAGCTATTTAGCACAATCAGCTCTTACTACCCTGGCCTGTCATGAGAGTCTAGATCAACTGTAATACCCTCAACTACACACCTAATCACTTGCTCAAAATCTTCAATCAAAATTATAGACTATCAACAGCATTACCTTTGATGCAGTATTTTTATTCGTTTATTCACCGGATGATACCAAAGGAAAGTTAAATTATTTTGCACGGTATAAATAGCATCACTGGTACAATATTCGTGCTGCAACGTAAAGCATTTTTCTAAACAAATACGGACTGACATGCAAGAGTGAGAGATAGCTAAAAATACTTACATATTCTGGTTTTTCCTGTAACAGCTGTTTAATTTTATTAACAGCTAAAGGAGTCTAGATAGGAGGAAAAATAAAAGTTTAAATGTTTAACAAAGATTTCAATTTTAAAATCAAACCGACATAACTTAAAAACTTATCACTACATTCCTACGAAATAATAACAGAACTTTTTAAACATACAAAATGTTTCTAAAATTTGGGAACTCATTTCTCATGCTCCTTCTGGTGAAATCAGATGGAGACCAGGATACTTTGTAATCAGATCCCATTTAATTCCCATTATTGAATTTATCCATTTCCTTCCATTACCAGAGCCTACATAAAGCTCCAATCATTATCATAGTTTTAGAACAATTGTGATCAATGGGATACAAACACAAAATCAAATTAAAAAGTGACAGAAAGCTCACTTTTTTATTATGCTGGGTATTAGACGTGTGGAAATCCCATGTGTGAAATCTTCACATAAGGTTACTAAAAATAAGCTTTCAAAATATGTTTGGTCATCACGCATATTTTACCCTCCATTAACCAGAGGCCATCTAAAATTCTGAGAGCAGCTAGTGGAATTTAAATTAATTTTAAAAATTCAATTAAAATTAAATCTGAAATTAGAAGCTAGTCTCAGTAACAATAAGCAGAAACTATTAATTGTTATAAAAAATTGTCTGGTGGAGGGAGAAAATCTGTCATCTTGATTTGACATAGCCCCCATCCACAGCAATGTGTTTGGCTCTTAACTGACTCCAAAAATAGTAATTCAGTTGTAGGAATTAGTGATCTCCAACAAATGCTGAATCTGAATCCTTTTCTAAGATCTGTAATGACATCTTTCCAAATTTATACTTCGCCTAGTGTAATACAAGTCATGTTTATTAGACAAAAAACATTTTATTCTTTGCATTAAAAGTACAGAGACAGTTTCTGGTCAACGTGTACAGTAAATGGCCTCCATGGTTATAAAGAAAGTTGGATGGTTATAAAGAAAGTGACCTCCCACCCACAGCCTCCAACCTCATTGTTCCCCAACCCCGCACCGCCCGCTTCTATCTCCTTCCCAAAATCCACAAACCTGACTGCCCTGGTCGACCCATTGTCTCCGCCTGCTCCTGCCCCACCGAACTTATCTCCACCTATCTCGACTCCATTTTCTCCCCCTTAGTCCAGAAACTCCCTACCTACATCCGTGACACCACCCACGCCCTCCACCTCCTCCAGAACTTCCAATTCCCCGGTCTCCAACACCCCATGTTTACCATGGCCATCCAGTCCCTATAAACCTGCATTCCCCATACAGATGGCCTAAAGGCCCTCCGCTTCTTCCTGTCCCGCAGGCCCGACCAGTCCCCCTCCACTGACACCCTCATCCGCTTAGCCAAACTCGTCCTCACCCTCAACAACTTCTCTTTCAATTCCTCCCACTTCCTACAGACAAAGGGGGTGGCCATGGGTACCCGCATGGGCCCAAGCTATGCCTGCCTCTTTGTAGGATGGGGGCTATGTCAAATCAAGATGACAGATTTTCTCCCTCCACCAGACAATTTTTATAACAATTAATAGTTTCTGCTTATTGTTACTGAGACTAGCTTCTAATTTCAGATTCAATTTTAATTGAATTTTTAAAATTAATTTAAATTCCATTAGCTGCTCTCAGAATTTTGGATGGAACAATCCCTCTTCCGTACCTACACTGGTCCTAAACCCCACCTCTTCCTCCGTTACATTGATGACTGTATCGGCGCCGCCTCATGCCCCCACGAGGAGCCTGAACAGTTCATCCACTTGACCAACACCTTCCACCCCAACCTTAAGTTCATCTGGACCATCTCTAATACCTCTCTCCCCTTCCTGGACCTCTCTGTCTCCATCTCGGGCAACCATCTAGAAACCGATATCCATTTCACGCCCACCAACTCCCACAGCTACCTAGAATACACTTCCTCCCACCCACCTTCCTGCAAAAACGCCATCCCCTATTCCCAATTCCTTCGACTCCGCCGCACCTGCTCCCAGGATGAGGCATTCCACTCCCGTACATCTCAGATGTCCTCGTTTTTCAAGGACCGCAACTTCCCCCCCTCAGTGGTCGAGAACGCCCTCGACCGTGTCTCCCGCATTTCCCGCAACTCATCCCTCACACCCCCTCCCCGCAATAACAACCAAAGCAGAATCCCCCTCATCCTCACATACCACCCCACCAACCTCCGGATCCAATGCATCATCCTCCAACACTTCCGCCATCTGCAATCCGACCCCACCACCAAAGACATTTTTCCCTCCCCACCCTTATCTGCTTTCCGGAGGGACCACTCCGTGACTCCCTTGTCCGCTTCACACTCCCCTCCAGCCCCACCACACCCGGCACTCTTCCCTGCAACCGCAGGAAGTGCTACACCTGCCCCTACACCTACCCCCTCACCCCCATCCCAGGCCCCAAGAAGACATTCCACATCAAGCAGATGTTCACCTGAACATCTTCTAATGTGGTATACTGCATCCGCTGTTCCCGTTGTGGCCTCCTCTACATCGGGGAAACCAAGCAGAGGCTTGGGGATCGCTTTGCAGAACACCTATGCTCGGTTCACACTAAACAGCTGCACCTCCCAGTCGCGAACCATTTCAACTCCCCCTCCCATCTTTCAGACGACATGTCCATCCTGGGCCTCCTGCAGTGCCACAACGATGCTACCCGAAGGTTGCAGGAACAGCAACTCATATTCCGCTTGAGAACCCTGCAGCCCAATGGTATCAATGTGGACTTCACAAGCTTCAAAAATCTCCCCTACCCCTACCGCATCCCAAAACCAGCCCAGCTCGTCCCCGCCTCCCTAACCTGTCCTTCCTCCTACCTATCCCTTCCTCCCACCTCAAGCCCCACCCCCATCTCCTACTTACTAACCTCATCCCGCCCCATTGACCTGTCCATCCTCCCTGGACTGACCTATCTCCTCCCTATCTCCCCACCTACACTCACCTTTACTGGCTCCATCCCCACCTCTTTGACCTGTCTGTCTCCTCTCCACCTATCGTCTCCTCTATCCATCTTCTATCCGCCTCCCCCTCTCTCCCTATTTATTTCAGAACCCCCTTCCCCTCCCCCATTTCTGAAGAAGGGTCTAGGCCCGAAACATCAGCCTTCCTGCTCCTCGGATGCTGCTTGACCTGCTGTGTTCATCCAGCTCTACACCTTGTTATCTTGGATCCAACAAACCAGGTTTCATTCTGTCCAATCTTAACATCAACTAAAATCACAACAATATAAACCAAGTTTATGCAATCTAACTTGGCAATTTAATTCGGATATTATTCTGCTAAACTGCACTCTATCACTCAAAAGCCATTATGTCAATGCTGAGGTTTGGAGTTCAAAACTGAATGTAGTACTTGCGATCGGGCTTACCACTGATCTATGCAACTGAGACATTATTCTGTAACTTTGGCAGTAGAGAACTGGAATAACAATGTTCAGTTCTTTGCACTAGTTTTTGTACCTGTGCACCAGCATTTTGATTGTGGGCACAAACACCTAAATAAAATTCTTTTACTCCATTCAACAATTCATCCTAGGGTCATTTAGGCCTACTGCACAGAAAAGGGTCCTACGGACCATCAAGTCTGTGTCAGACAAAACCAACCACCTAACGTTCTAATCCTGTTTTCCAGTAAACTTAATATCCTGTATTACTGTGCACAGTCAGGAAAGGGAGATACTTTTTGCTTGGTTTCCTTGGCACATAGTTTGCAAGGTCTTTTTACAGGATAAATTGAAGCCCAGGATCAGGGGCACAGCTCAAAAGAAAAGGGCAACATCACAGGAAAGCCATAAAATCAATTGGTTTGTAATAGCTGCTAAGTTGACTAATCTATTATTGGTTATTGTCAGATTGAAGGCAAATAGGAAAAACATTTACAGGTTACAAACTAAAATACCAGTAGGTTTTTTTAAAAAGTCAAATTAAGAACTAATTGCAGGGCCAGGCAATGTTTGTATCTGTGTGGTGTGGGAACTGGTGGACCCCACAACTATTCACATTATACATTCATGATCTGGAAGAAAAAATACTGCAAAGTTTGCAGATGACATCATCTGGAGGGACAGGTAGGTGTTAAAGAAGCAGGGAGGCTTCAGAAGACTTGGACAGACTAGGAGAGTGGGCAAAGAAGTGGCAGATGTAATACAATGTGGTTAAGTGAGAGATTATGCACTTTGACAGGGAGATTAGAGGCCTAAACTATTTGCTAAATGGGGAAAGGCTTTGGAAATCTGTAGCACAAAGGGATTTAGAAATCCTAGTTCAGGATTCTCTTAAGGTTAGCATGCAGATTCAGTTAGTTGTTAGGAAGGCAAATGTAAACATTACTTTTATTTCGAAAGGTTTAGAATGCAAGAGAAGAGATGGTCTCCTGTAGCTCTCTCAGGGTCTGGTCATACCGCATTTGTAATATTGAGAGCAGTTTTGGAACCGTATCTAAGGATGTGCTGGCATCAGAGGGGATCCAGAGGAGGGTTACAAGAATATCTGAGGAGTGGTTGAGGTCCATGGGTCTATACTAAGTCTAGAAGGATGATGGGGGGGTGGGGGAAGGAATCTCATTAAAACTTAGCAGCCTGCATTAAGTGGGCTTGGAGATGTTTTCACGAGTAGGAGAGACTAGGAGTCAAAGGCACAGCCTCACAGCGAAGCGACAGCCCTTTAGAATGGAGATGAGAATATATTTCTTCAGCCAGAGGGTGATGAACCTGTAGAACTTGTTGCCTCAGGAGGACTTGAAGGCCATTCATTGAGTGTATTTACAACAGAAACAGATAGGTTCTTAATTAGTGAAGAGGTCAAGGGTTGTTGGGAGAAGGCAGGAGAATAACGTTCAGAAAATAATCAGCCACGATCAAATGGTGGAACAGACTCAATAGGCTGAATAACCTAATTCTGCTCCTATATCTTATGGTCTTATAAAGCTCCCTACTTTTATATTCAATTCCCATCAAGATAAAGAATAACATTCCATTAGCTTTCTCAACTACTTGCTGTAGCTGGATACTAATCTATTGCAGT